GGCGCACCACGCCGCGCAGGTCCCGCCACTTGTGCTTGACGTCGCCCAGGTCCCGGCGGCAGTAGCCCAGTGCGTTCACCGCCTGCAGGATGCGGCTCCACACGCGATGCTTCCGGGCGGGCGGGCCCCGCAGCGCCCCGAACAGCAGCGGGTAGTGGCGCGTGACCCTCTGCACCAGCACCTCTGTCTCCTGGGGGCTGAAGTTGGGCTTCCGGGTCTTGGTGCGGGAGTGGGAGCTCGGCCGCAGGGGCACGCAGCCCGGCCCGGACAGCAGGGCCGCCATGGCCGGCTCGGGGCTGGAGCTCCGCTGGCATGTGGCTTGGCTGCTTCTGGACCCTGGAAAGGCACCAGAGGCTGAGTGGGCAGCAGATGGGACGGGCCATGGAGAGCAGGGAACCCCCAGAATCCTGGTCCCAGGCCCCCACTGCTCCCTGGAGAGGGTACAGTGGCCCCAGCCCAACGTCCATCACCCTAGAAACACCCACATCAGGGGGCAGTGGGGTCCTGGCTCCTGGCTACTCTGGTCCCCAGGTGCCCACCCCTCCGCCGGGCCCCTACACGGTTGCAGCAGGTCAGCCCTCTCCACCTCCCCACCGGGAGACGATCCCTTCCTGATCGTCCAGGAGCAGGACTGAGTGACCATCTGTAGACACCGGGGCATCCATCTGGAGTGTACAAAGCATTTTGCATACACCGCCCCAAGACAGCCAGCCAGAGGTGGAGGTGGGGGTCCTGCAAGAGGTGCTGTGAAGGGGTGACGGGGCGGCCCCACTGGAGCTGCCCAGGCTGAGGAGCGGGATCCCGTGGGAGCGAGGACAAGCCTGCCAGCGTCACGGCCCAACCCTGTCCAGTCGCCCTCCTAGGGCAGGGGGGCGGCTGGGCTGCCCGCCAGGGAACAGCACATGCCTGGACCTCAGAAGCTCCACGGCACCCAGGCTGAGAGGCGAGAGGCTTATTCACAGCCGCGGGGCCCCTGGTGAGGCAACAGCTCAGCCGGGGAACAGGTAGAGAGGCTGGGTGGGTGAGCCCTGGGGTCCTGGCCGGGAGCTGACTGTTGGCAAGTGGCTCTGGGGACCAGGAGCCACTCTTCTAGGCCAGAGGGTGGTGAGTTCCTGCTCGGGCGCCCAGGGCGCTCAGGAGAAGCCATATGGCCGCAGGGTGTGGGCACCAGGCTGGTGGGGCGGAGGCTCTCACGTGGAAGGAACAGCAGGAACAATGGCTCGTCCTGCACAGCCCTGTCCCCACCACCCACGTTTCCTGAGAAGTGGCTGACGTGGTGAATCAGCAGCAGGATCGGCACTCCACGGTGGTGCCACGTCCAGCGCCCTCCGCTGGGGCACCCACTGCAGTCTGACGCCCCCCAGACAGCTGGTCCTCACCCTGGGGAGCCCCTGGCTGAGGAGGAAGGCCCAGGGCAGGGGGCACACAGGCCAGCGCTCCTCAGTGAGGAGAAGGGGCGGGCCAACCTCTGGCCTGGGTCTCCCTTGCCCGGCCTTCCTGAGGGGCTGGGGAGACACTCAGACCCCAGAAGCCGCCCCAGCCCCACACCGGGGGGAGGGGCAGGTGGCCTGACAGATGGCGTGGGTACCCACCGATGGCGTCTCCTTGCTCTGACACCATGGAGGCCAAGTCCTTGATGATCTGGTTCACATCCAGCAGGTCGCTCTGTGGAAACAAGATAGCAGACATTAGACACCTGGGGTCGGCAGGTACAGAGGTCAAGGGCACGGCCAGCAAGAGTGCTGAGAACCAAGGACCAGAAACGAGCCAGGGTCACCCCACAAGTCAGAGGTAAGGCTAGGGTCTGAAATACTGTCTTCTGACTCCAAGACCAAACCCCACGCTGAGCATCCTGGGGTCATGAGCTCCCTCCCTGGGTACAGAGGACCCAGAGCCGGCCCCCAAGAAGGCTGCAGACCAGAGCAGCGCTGTGTCCCCAACACTGTCCTGCAGGCCTGACTAGAGGAGGGGAGAGGCTGTCCGGAGCAGAGCCCTCAGTCTGCACCCCTACAGGCCCATCGGGCCTGGAGATACCTCACTCCCCTTCCCTCCTGGGACTCCTTGACCTTTTCCTCTCTGAACACCGAGCACTGAGCAGGGGCCAGCACACTGGGGTGGGTGACTGGTGAGGGGTGGATGGATGGCAGCCCCACTGCTGTCTGAACACTGAGTAACTGTGAAGCTAGTGAACGTGCTAAGGAGCAGAAGCTGGATCCAGAGGCCCTGGGGACCCCCCACTCGCACACCACACTGGCGTCTTGCCTCCTCCAAACTGCCCACCCCCATCTTCACTCCACTTGCCCAGCAAAATAGCAGTGATGCTCATGAGGGACATGGCCACCCCACTCACAGATCACACGCCTGGGTCTGGGCTGTGGGCACATCACACGTGGCTGCCTTCACACCTGGTAGCACCCGAGGGGCAGCCAGAGCACCCACCTGGCAGTGGGGGCTGTGGGGCTCCAGAAGATGTGTTACCTCTGCGACCTCTCAGAGAGGCAGGGCTGGGGCTGGCACCAGGGCCCACTGCCTAAAGCCCCCTCCCTTCCTGACTGCCACCCTGCGGGGACGGCTCCGACAGCCAGCCAGGTGGCCCTGGGCAAAGAACCTTGGAGCAGGTTCCCCCACCCACCACTGAGCAGATCCACACCGCCTCCCTCAGCGCCCTGCACGTGGCCTGGGTCGAGCCAGGTGGGAGGCTCCCTCACGCCTGTGAGACGGTGGGTGGGGTGCACCCTGCCCCAGCGCCCTCCACCCTGCAGCCCATCGGGAGCCTGGACTGATTTCCACAAGGGTCACTTCACCCCACTGCAAAATGTTACAGGGAGATTCATTTTCTTTTTAGGAGTGTTCTGGGAAATGAAGCAATTAGCGTGATCTTAAACCGACATGTACTATCAATTTCAATTCAATTACTGGGCTCACTCACGGCCCAGGCAGGCGGCTTCCTGCGGGAACAGGGCCCACGGCCGGGAAGGTGGTGATGGGGGTGGGGCCTTGAGTGGGTGCTGGGTGGCCTCAGCCTGAGGCCCATTTCTGGGATTCCTGTCCCCACAAGCCTTCCCTGGGTGAGGCCACTGGTAGGGAGGCCAAGCTGAGGCTCCACCCGAAGGGCGAGACATCAAGGTCACAGACGCCAGGCCTTGGGCAGACAGGCCCCACCTCCTCCAACTTCCAGATTGAGGCCGGTCAAGCTGAGCACTGGCCAGCCACACACCCACCCTGACTCCGGCCACTGTGCAGGTCCGGGCCTACCGTGGACAGAAGCCTCTCACACGGGGCTTGCCGAGAGTGGGCGCACTGCTGGTGCCCCTTCCCACACAGGGCAGGCAGGGAATTCGAGTCACCAGAGGTTAAGGCTGGTCAGTGCTGGCACCAACATCCACGCTGCCTGGCCCCCCCGACCCTGGGCACCCCCTGACCCTGGGCTCCCCCGGGAGCCACAATGCCGTGCACCCCAGGGAGGTCATGTCTGCAGCCGGCGCTGACACTGACGGGCTTAACACGTGCGCGCTGTTCCCCTTCCCGCGGGCACACAGACACAGCCTCGGCGAAGGGGGGAGGGAGGGAGTTGCTGAGCAGGGGCCATGAGCCCAGTGCCCCTGGGGGCCCGAGACCCCCGGCTGCCTGCTGGGGTAGGGTGGGTGCAGGAGCCGCTGGACGTCACTGTGGCCTGGCCTTGGTGGGGACACATGGCTACTGCAGTAGGTGTTTCTGGTCTGGAGCAGCACTGACCCCAATAACCCAGGACAGCTTGGGATGGAACACGAGGCCCCCAGTCCAGCTCACACTCCGGGCTTTCAGGGGAGGCCCCCGGGGAGACGCAGCGGCCAAGGCAATTCTCCAACTGCTGCAAACACACTGGTGTGTGGCTGCCGACCAGCTTTACAAACTGCTTCCCCCGCCAGCGCCTGGCTCCTCCCCAGTGATGCTTCTGTAGGAAGCAGCCCTCCGAACACAGTCAGGGCTGTGGCCGAGGACGGCCGCCAGGAGCCATCGCTGGCCTGACATCTCGGGCTGGGGGTGTCCACCCAGGGCCTGGCTGCCCTCCCAGCACACAGCAGCGCCTGCCAGGATGAACAGAGAGTGTCGGGAGTGGGACAGACAGAGCCAGGTGGGCCGCAGCGGATGCGGTCCACTTCCGGCTGGCCCAGCAAAGCGGTGACCAGGATCGGCAACGACTCAGTCCAGCTGCCTGAGCTGAGAGACTCGGACGCCCCTCGTGCCCTGGCTCCCAGAGCACTGGGTACACAGTGAAGCAGCACAGAGGAGGCAGGCCCTTACGTGGGTGACCCACCCTGGACGGCGCTCCAAGGGCACCCCCGTCCTAGCTTCCGAAAGCTCCCCTCAGGGCTGCCCCCAGGTCTCCGCTCACTGACCTCTCGGGAGTTCACATAACCGTTGACACGGACCCCATTCTTCACTTCCAGCCTCCCCCTTTTTAAGATGCCTGAGACTCTGACCACTGACCTTCACCGACCTCTCTGCAGATGGTTCAGCTGACTTCCAGGAGCAAGGCCAGCCCCACGCCCCCAGCTGACCATCCTGAGGCCCTGCTTCGCCCGGGGACCCGTGACCACGAGTTGCTCAGTGGTGAACAGATCTCCCTGGTCTGGAACAGACACTCAGGCTGGGCGCCTGGAACCCGGCCCCAACTCCACACACTGCGTTCCAGGAAACATTTTCTGCAGGGGCCCTTTCCCCGTGTGATGAAAGCAAGACTCACCAGGACCAGGCCAAACCCAGGGCCGAGCTCCCGTCCGGTGCCTCACACACGATGAGCCGAACCGCTCATCCCACTGACCAGACAGGACAAAAGGCGAGGTGACCAAATCTGAGCTCAGCCCCCACCCTCACCCTGGGCCCCCTGCAGACAGCCCAAGCCAGTGCCCTTTCGGCCCATTTCTTCCAGTTTTGTTTGCTCTGCAGAAGAGAACCCATGTCCCCGATTCTCAAGCTGCTAGGACAGCTTACGTCACAGTGGTCTCCTTACTCAAGAGCCCCCCACCTCCTGAAACAAGCCCTTGGAATAAAGACTCTCTCTGCCCCAAAAGCAAGGGAGCTGTGTTGGGAGAACAAGGGCCGTGAGGGTGTCCCAGGGCCCCACATGCTCCAGCTGGTCTCCGCCAGGTCTGGTGGCTGGCGGAGTGAGGGCTGGAGGAGGACGATGCTGCTGGGCGCCAGGCTGACACACGGACTTTTGTGGGGCCTAACCCTGACCTCTGGCCACCACGAGGGTGTCAGCAGGGGGCGCCCTCCACCCAGAGCAGACAAGAAGTAGGTGGCAAGCCTGGGGCGGCAAACCCCTCCTGGACCCTCAGACAGCAGCTGCCTGTGATCTCAGGGAACGGACCAGACTGGCTCGGAGGGGCTGCTCAGACCATGGGGACCCCAGGATTCCAGCTCCCAGCCAGATCATCAGCCTGTGGGCTCACAGCCTCTGGCCTGGGGCAGGGAGCCCCACCCAGACTTTCCTAGTAGAGAGAGCAGGCGTGGCCTTGGATGTGGGGTGGGGGAATGTGCGGTACCCACCCCCAGCCCCTGGCCACCTGCCCGTGAACGAGTTTCTGGGCTTGTGCCTCCTCCTCCAAGATCCCTCACGGATGCTGGGACTGGGCTGTGGGGAGACTTGATGGGCCGGGGGCGGGAGGGGCCGGGGGAGGGGGCGCAGAGGGCAGCCTCATTAGCAGGGACAGTGGGCAGAGGAGGAGTGTCTGGGTGCAGGCAACAGCGTGGCCAGGTGTCCTTCTGGTCACCACGCTGGGCATCGAGGCCGGCCTCGGCTCCTGATGGAGGATGCCAAGGGCAGGTGGGGCTTAGGTCCCAGCTCTTCTGGGGGGCTGCACCAGAGACCTGGATCCCACCAGGAGCCAGGGTGGGGACCAAGCTCCGGGCAGAAGTCCAGGCCTTAGTCCCAGGGTGCAGGCTGCAGGCCAGGCTGGTCACTGGGAGGGTGGAGGGGCTGAGAGCCCAGAAGCCCCCCAGAGCTGCCCTGGGATGGAGCTCCCAGGGGCGTCGAGCAGCCCCAGCTGTGGTGCATGAGGGCGGCAGGCATTGGGAGCCGTGTGCCCAGGCGTGGGCACCAGAGAGCGGAGAGACTATAAAAACACCTTCAGTTACTAAATGTTTAAATCATGCAATTATTTTCCTGATTGCTTCTAAAACTAGAACTCATTAAAAGCGCTCACGGAATCTTCTTTCTCTCCTCTACTGGCACTGCAGAATAGCAGCCCTGCGCAAGACACCATAAGCCTCGGTGTGTGTGTGCGCGTGTGCGTCTGCGTTCCCCCCACTTCGAAGAACGAAGGGAAAGAAAGCACCACTGTGCTTTTCTCTATCGTGCAGTCTCTTCTCAAGCTCAGGACCTCGGCAGCCGTCCTCCCACAGAGATGACTCCTCCAGTTCGCGGAACAGCCAAACTTCATCTACTGATGTGTTCACATATTTAGAGCTAAGTATTAACCATAACCACCTCCCCTCTGCATTCCAGCTGCAGGACGCCAGCTGCGGAGAGGGTGGCTGGGACCCGACAGGCTCTGCTCAGCCTGGAGGCCCTTCCTGGCCCCTCCTCACCCCAGCCTCTTCCTTCCCGACCTGCCAGGTAGCCATGGTAACAGGGCAGCTGAGCGCGCACCTGGGTCAGGTGACACACCAGCTCAGGAAGG